TGACATATAGTCTAGAAGACCGTGATTTTTCACCCATATAGAGAAAGGGATAAGTAGACATAAAGAGGTAGAATAGGTGCGGTCCTGTTACCCCAAGAGAACTCCATGAACCCCGAGTGCATCCTCATCAGCTCTTAGATTGAACACGGTTTTTTTGATAACATAAGAAGGGTCAGTGGTACATACAACTTCAGAAACTCTTGCAGTTGAAGTTGTATCTTTTTGTATCTCCTGCTGCTTAGTACAATGCTGAGCCCACAGTAGATGCTCACTAAATATGTATTGGGAGAACAAAGGCATGAAACCGGATTTTCACATCCAGGGTTGCTTAAATCAGGGTATCACGATTATTTCATGTCCTATCAGTGCCTACTGGATTTCTTTCTTCCCTCTGCTTGATGATAAGCTATGCTCTGGTTATTAATCTGTATTCCTTAGTAGGATGTCAGCTGCAGAGAGAGATGGCTTCAGGACCAGTAATTGCTCCTGAAAGAGTCTTCTCCTGAGGATATGTCTGTGGTTTTGCATTATTGAGCTGGCTCGCTCTAGTTGCCTCCCAAATGCTGGAAGTAGAGAACTGTTTCTGCTCATTGCTATCAATCAGTGCTGCTTAAAGTTAATGTACATGTAATAATGAAGAGTGAAATGAGCAGAACCAAGAGAACAGTAACAGCAATATTCTTCTAAAAACAACTTTGAATGACTACGTCATTTTGAATATTATAAATACTCAAATCAACTACAAAGGGCCTGTGAAGGAAGATGCTATCCACCTTCAGAGAAAGAATTGACAAATAGAAGTATATATAGTATGGTTTGATACATATATACATATTTGTGACTAATGGTAGCCTTCTCTATAGTAGGGTGGGGAGGGAGGGAAAAAAATAAAATATACTCGGCAGAGAACAGAAGAAAACTTAGAAGAAAGCACAGAAAAGCAGGGTAGCTTTGAAAATGATGTGTAGCATTTATTACATAGTTTTTCAAAAAAAGTAAACATTCTAAAATGGAAATTCATGGTTTTATATTGAATCTTCTTTTTATGTTGTACTGTGTATACAGAAATTTTTTTTTCTTTTTGTATATAAGTTAAAAATGAATAAAAATAAAATAAAAAAATAAAGTTAATCTAGTCAGTGCTAAGGAGTATGAAGGGGGCAGCTAGGTGGTGCAGTGGCCTGGAGTCAGGAAGACATCTCCCTGAGTTCAAATCTGGCCTCAGACACTTCCTAGTTGTGTGATCCTGGGCAAGTCACTTAATCTTTTTTGCCTCAGTGTTCTTATCTGTAAAATGAGCAGGAAAAGGAAATGACAAACCACTCCAGTATCTTTGCTAAGAAAACCCCAAATGGGGTCACGAAGAGTCAGGCATGACTGAAATAATTGAATAACAACAAAGCAGCATGAAACAAATGGGGGAGAAGTGGGATAAATCAGAATGTGAATTGACTGTAAAAAAAAAAGAGGACAAAGGCTTTTTGTAGAGTCAGTAGCAGACCAACATATCTGCATTCAGAGTCTTTGCCATCTCAGTTGTGGAGATGAAAATGGTTTTTGCAGATACTTAAACATATTGGAATGATATAGCTGTAACTTTGGGACATGATGGAAGCTGAGGAGTGTGATCAATCCTGTGGACTATTTCTTTGGCAACCCCCTGTTGCCTGTGCCTACAAGGGGTCCAGGACATTCATTTGGTCTCAGGTCCCTTCATGTTGTCGAGAAGCTAATTTAGGCTGAAATGTTAACGACTTAGTGAGGTAACTCTCCTAAAAGAGTACCCACCTTTTAAAGAAGACAACAAGGGAAGGAATTGTTATTCCAAGAGAATCTATTTTGAAGAAGGATGGAGACATTTTGAGGCAGAGAGGAAAATCTTCAAATTATATCATATAGGCCATAACCTGTTCCACTAGTGCTTTAAGTTGACCTTACTGGGGAGCCATGGTTTGTGTATGTGGAGGGGACAAAGGGCCAATTGGTTGTTCATGCTTGTTCTTTTCATCCCCTTTGTATTTTATTGGGAAAATATAAAGCTAACACATCCAGAGACTTCTGAAACAGAAACTATAGCATGCTTGATGTGGTCTGGCTTGACGTGGCTGCTTCACTCATACAGAGAAGGGGATAAGTAAACATAAAGAGCTAGGATGACTGATAGGTCCATAGGTGTAGTCTGGCCACCCCAAGCAAACTCCACGAGCCCCTGAGCATCCTTATCTAGCCTATTGATGTTTGTTGTATTCCCAAGGTTCCTAGGTACATTGGAAAAGAGTTGCAGTAGCTTTTGCCTCTGGTTATAAAACATTGCTACTTTTAATTGCTGTTGGCCTACACTTCTGGACAGGGCATGGTTTTCCCTGATCCTATCACAATATGTGATTTTGCCTCTCAGAACCAGAACAGACCCCCAAAGAATTGGGTGACCAGTGGAGCTGATTGGCACATGTATCCTTTTATGATTTTTTGTGTATATCACTGACATGTTTGTATGTCATCAAAAAAGACTGTACAATTAGCTTTAAGGAGTGTGCAGCTGCCTGTCTATTCCCTGAGATACAGAAGTGAACTAATTTATTCCTTTCAACCCATAGGATCCCTGGCTTCCTTCAAGCCTCAGTTCAAATGCCACTTTTTGTGGAAGGCCCTTCCTCTTCCTCCCTTCCCCCACAACTCAAGCTGTCAGAGTCTTACCCCTCTAACATTGTCTTCCATCTACTCTAAATGTATCTTCTATGATTATCTATCTTTATCTCTATCATCTATTTTTGAACTTCTGTTATTTCCCCCCGATTAATATGCATTTGTATTTTTATTTACAAGTTGTTTCCCCTGTTAGAATTTAAATTCCTTTAGTGCAAACACCTCTCTTTGTATCATAAGGACTTAGCACAGTCCCTGCCTTATAGTAAGCTCTTAATAAATGTTTGTTAATTGATTGGCTCAGTCTAAAGATGAGTAAAGTTGGCTCTTGGGCACCTAATTGTCAGGACTTGCAAAATACCCACCTCAGGTCAGGCACAGCCCAAAGAAGGATGACATCTCGTTTTGTAATCAGAGGTATTTATGCAAAATTAGAGTCAAATGGTGGGTCATTCCCCTTCTCCCAGCAAATCCCCAAACTTCTCTTCATTGCTCTGATTCCTAATTACCTGGGCTAGGTTCTTTTTCACACCTGCTGAGACCACTTCCCCCACAGTAGCATAATTGCCTAGCTGAGGGCTCCCAGTGTACTCCTAATGAGCTCAGGGCCTGCTGCAAATAAGGGCATTTACAATCCCCGGGAGATGCTGAAACAGTTCCTTTTATTGCAGGAGCCCCGATTCTATGCCTGATTAGCTCCTGCTTATTAAAACATATGGTTTAAGTACTGAGTTGCCAATTTAATGTTTCCATGAAACGTAATGCTTTGTGTAATGAGGAAAATAGTTGAATACTGGTGTTTATGGAACAGTAAAAATAGGGTGTTTTGAAAGACCATAACATGAAGTATAACTGGGAGATTAGGTTTAATATAGTCCTTTTGCATTACGTAGTGCTCATACTTTCTATACATCTCAGGCAACAGTGATATTTATAATTCCATGACTTTAGACCAGAGCATTGCCTTTTGTTCTTCAGTCACATCCCCCTCCCCATTTTAAAATCACATGAAATGACGGATGCAAAGCTCTTTGTAAACCTTAAAACTATGTATTATATATATATATATATATATATATATATATATATATATATGATTATTATTTTCTTTTGCATTTTATTGATTTTAATGGTTTTTATATCACCTTCCAAATATATCCTTCACACTTGTTACGAAGAACAAAAAAGAAATAGAAAAAAAATTGAACAAAACTAACTAACAAATTAGCTGAGTCCTATAGTATATGCAATACTTCATATCAATAATGCCATGTCTCCTCAAAGAAGGGAAGGATGCTAATTTACTCATTTCTTTTCTGAAGTCAAACTTGTTCATTATGTAACAACTCTTTCTTGATTCATGATTTTGTGGAAGGGAAGAGTTATTTAGACCCCCACCCCAACCCCCAGTCACTGCTTATGCTTTGTGGGATGAACCCAACTTGGTTGGTCCTGGTCTCTTCTACTTGCTCCCATCTAAGCAGGGCCATCTCTAGTCATCCTGATCCATATCTTGCCACTGGATCCAGACGGTCCTAGAGGAGAGAATGAGGCTGGTGACTTTTCATAGCCCTCCCTCACTTAAATCCAATTCACTTGCAAGTCATGGCATCACCTTCCTGATATCATGGTTCTCTTCGAGAATGGAGGACAAACACAACAAGAAGCAGGGCTAGAGATGCTCAGAGAGGACAGCTTGTTGTGGTGGGGGACCACTGGCCAGAGAGTCAGGAGACTTGGGTTCTGTTCCCTGCTCTGCCACTAACTAGCTTTGTGACCCAGGGTAATTTTGATCGTGAGTCTCTTCGCTTGGATGGACCAGCTTTTGCCTTATCCTGCTGGAGACCACAGCCCTAAGCCATTCTCTGGTTGCTCCAGTTATGCTGACTCCCTGGTAGTAGTGTTTACAAGTGTGTGCCACTGAGGTTGGCAAGATGCCTTTTTTTTTTTAAGGCAATTGGGGTTAAGTGAGTTACCCAGGGTCACACAGCTAGTAAGTGTCAAGTGTTTGGTCTGAGGCCGGATTTGAACTCAGGTTCTCCTGACTTCAGGGCCCGGTGCTCTATCCACTGCGCCACCTAGCTGCCCTGCAAGATGCTTTCTTTAAAGAAAGGAAACAAACCAGGCTGCTTATCCTAAATGAGCGTAGCCTGAATCTCCTTATTTTTATTTAAGGACAACAAATGGAGGGGTTTTCATTTTATATTCACATTTGTACACATTTGTCAACATCATTCACAATAGTAGAAACACCAGAAAATTATAGCATGAACTTCTTATAAAGTGATAGGGAAGCTTTTTCTCCTTAACGTTTTTCTTACTATTACCTTTTATTTTTTCACTGTCCACAATGTATTTCCCAATATATCACTCTCCCTTCTCCCTTCCAGAGAGCCTTCCTGTATATGATAAAAAAGATGGAGAAAAAATCAGTTTGGTGAAACTGACCAGCACATTAGCTAAGTCAGACATTACATGAAGGGCCCTACACACATAGTCCTCCATTCTGCAGAAAAGGGAAGGAGGTGCCTTCTCATATTTCCTTTTTGGGGCCAAGCTTGTTATTAAAATTTGATAGTATCTGATTGTTGCTGTTCTTTCTAAAGAACAGTATGCTGTTTTTATGGTTTCTCCTTCCTTCCCTTTGCATAAGTTATATAAGTCTTCCCATGAGTCTCCACAGTCATAATATTTATTGTTTCTTACAGCTCAGTATGTAATGGCATATCACTGTGCTGCAAGGAAAGAGGGGGAGCCTCGAGTTATTGGCTATGGAGCTGGGAAACCCCAGGGAAGTGGATGGTTTGGCAAAAAGATGGCTCCAAGCCATGACATCCAGCTCCCCACTACTCAAGAGCCATCCCTTTGGCCCAAGCTGATTTAGCACAACTGTCCATATGCGTCAGAGCTCCAACCCATGGGGAAGAGATCATGTCAACAAAGTCCTCTAACCCAAACACCATCGGCCCGAACACAAAAGCCCAAGAAGGGACTGACATTTCTGGAACGGCAAACTGCTCTTCAGTGGGAGTTCCAAACTCAATATATTTTGTTGTAACATAAACAGGATGAAGTCCTTTCAGCTGGAGCGCTTGTTTACCAGGACCCTGTGTGAATGAACTCTATGCTAAGTTGTGAAAATGAAATTAGGAGTAGCAGCAGCAGCTAACACTGTCCTTCTCGAAAACAGAAAAGCAATACTTTGCACCGTGAATACCTGCTGCAAAAGAAAATTAGACCTTGCTTGAAGACAGAGGAGGGGTTGCAGATGTTCCCCACAGCAACGCTGAGCAGGATAAAAGACTCAGTTATGAAGACTATCTCTGAAAAGGGGAAATAACTTGTTTAATAAAAGCAGGAGTAATTTATTTTGAGACAGAAGTGACCTCAGAGGCATTTCACTCTAATCCCCTCATTTTACTAATGAGGAGAATGAGGCCCTAGGTGACATGACCATTGAGCATCAGTGGAAGGGTGGGAACTTACATCCTCTCACTCAAGAGTCCAGGTTCTTTGTGCTGTGCCATGTAGCTTGGGAAAAAGAGAATACCTTATCAGTTTTTCTGCTTGGAAGCAGGAGTCTGGACTTGGAGATCTATTTCAAAGTTGTGGGGGTTTTTTAAGGGTCGAATTGGAGTCTTGAGAATTCATATTTGATAGAAAACTCTCTTTTTCTATGTGCTAAAAAATGTTATTTTAACATCTTGCCCATTTCACAAATTCTGTATATTCTTGTTTCCTTGTCAGATTAGAATTCCAGTCTAGGGTAGTGCAGAAAATGTTTTAAAAGGTCTCAGAGTAGGGGAGTGGAATTAAAAAAAATAGAATAGTTGAGCTTCCCTGAAAGATTTGGGTACCTTCCCTGATTTGGTGCACCTACCTAGCTTTACCTTTGTATCAAGCTTAATTAGACTTATCTAATGTTCTTTGTGATGTCACCAGTATTTGGGTTTAGACAGGCTAAGGGTGTATGTGTCCAAAGTGTAAATTTTTTAAAAAATCAAGTATATTATTTAAGTATTTGTTGTTTGTAAAGGCACTGTTGTTGTTGCTCAGTAGTGTCTGACTCTTCGTGACCCCATTTGGGGTTTCCTGGGCAAAGATACTGGAGTGGTTTACCATTTCCTTCTCCAGTTCATTTGAGAGATGAGGAAATTGAGACAAACAGGGTTAAGTGACTTGCCCAGAGTCATATAGCTAGTAAGTGTCTGAGGCCAGAATTGAACTCATGAAGATGAGTTTTCCTGATTCTAGGGTTAGCACTCTATCCATTGTACCACCTAGGTACCTTCGTACTAAGATTGAAGGAGATGTAACATTTTGCTAAGATGTAGTCTGGGCTTTTACAAGTTTATAATCTAGTAATCTTCTGTGTTTAATAAATACATTTTAGGGATTCTTATTTCACTTAGGACCTCTCATCAATCTTACTTTTTCTTTATACATTAATTATATGAACTTAGACCTTAATTCCTGGCATCTTGTACTTGAATTGTGTACCTTGCTTTGTATATATTTGTTTGCATTTTGTCTCCCCCATTAGATTATATACTCTTTGAGGACAAAGACTGTCTCTTTTGCCCCTTTTTGTATCCCAAGTGTTTAGCACAGTGCCTGGCACAGTGCTTAATAAATGTTTACTAACTGAATGTAGCAATTTGTTGATGGATGGAAATATAAATCAGCAGGCAAGATGACATGGAAACATATTATTAGAGTCTCGAAGTTTTGTGGATAGTAGGAAGAACCCTAGATTTAGAATCAGAGATCCTGGGTTGACACTGCCATCTGTGTGGCTTTGGGTGAATTGCTTTACTTCTTTGGACCTCAGACTCCTCATCTGTAAGATGGTGGGATTGAATCAGAGGACATCTAGTGGTCTATTTCAGTTCTAAATCAATGATATTGGAGAGTTTTAAAAAATAAGCATGAGAATAATTCTGATTGGGTGTCAGAAGACCCCTTTAAAAGGAATTTAGCTTGGGAAAGACCTTAATTTAGAAAGGCCAACGTTCTCTGTATCCCGGGCCATTGCCAGTAGACCTGACTTTTGTCTAACCACTGGACTTAGATGACTCTGGAAGAGAGAGTGAGGCTGATGACTTGGTGCAGCAACGCCTCACCTAAATCCAATTCGTGAGTGAGTTAAGACATCACCCCATGATGTCACTGGTCCTTTAAGAACAAAGGACAAACAACTACAAGAGAGATTAAACTTAATCAATCTCAGAACTTACTTTCCTCAACTGTAAAATGATAGTATTGGACTAAAGCAGGGATTCTTAACTAGGGGGTCCAGGAACCTCCAAGATAGATAGATTTTGGGGAGAGGGTTCTGTGAACTTGGATGGGAAAATAATTACATCTTTATTTGTACTGTAATTGCTTCCCCTATGTACTTATTTCATGAATTTAAAAACATTATTTTGAGAAGGGTTCCATAGGTTTCCCAAGACTGCCAAAGGGATCCAGGATAAAAAAATAAAATAAAAAAAGTTAAGAACGCCTGGACTATAGGATTTCTAAGGTCCCTTCCAGACTTGAATTCCATGGTTTGAGGAGGCTGTGTCCTGAATACTTGCTGGTGGCTCATTCCCAAACTCTGCCTTTCCCTTCAAAAGTTTCTAACAGAGCCAGTACACTATAGACTATGGAGGAAAGAATGTTAGACTGAGATCCTGGAAATCCTTTGAATGCTAACTCCATCACCTACTAGCTGTGTGACCCTAGGCAAATCATGAAGCCTCTCTGACACTCAATTTCCTCAGTTAGTCAGTCAACAACCATTTATGAAGTACCTTCTATGTGCCAGGCACCATGCTACCAGCTGAGGATACAAAGAAAGGCAAAAGACAACCCCCACCCCAGAGGAACTCACAGTCTAATGGGGAAAACAAGACACAAACACTTATGTGCAAACAAGCCGAGTACAGGATGAACTGGAGCATTTCAATAGAGGGAATGCACTAGAGTGAAGGGGAATGGAGAAAGGCTTCCTGCAGAAGGTGGGATTTTAGCTGAGCCTTGAAGGAAGCGAGGGAAGTTAAATGTAATATGGAGTTACTAGTGCTCACTGTATTTACCTATCAGCTGTTGTAAGGATCCAGTGAGAACATGTATGTAAAGCCCTTTGCAAACCTTAAAGCACCTTATACATGCCAGAGTTTATAATCATTTTTATTACCTCTGGCCTGTGTCTCCATAGATGGAGGGGCCTTCAGTCACTGAATAACCTCCTTCCAGAAAGGTAAGAAGAAAAATATTCCCACCGCAGCAGCTAGCCCTGAGGCCAGTCATTAAATGAGAAAGTCAGCCCGGTTCTGCCTTACCTTTCATTGCCATCTCAAGAACAACTGAATAAATTACAGATCAGCTGCAAGGCCACCAAGTGGCTGTGATATTGGATAATAGACAGGTGCAGACCTGAAGTGTCACACAGGGGCTTTCCGCAGCAAATAAATCAGCGTCTATTATTTATTTAATGTACGTGGTTCTCTACCCTCTATTGGGGCAATCAGAATGCAAAATGACCATGAGAACTGGTCCCTCAACTTGGACACCATGAGCAAATGAGACTTTATACATGCACATACATTTGTGTACATATGCAACGTATAATCTTTCTCAACATATTACATGTGTGCATATATACACACACATCTACACACATACATGTAGTTGTTGTTCCGTTGTGTCCAACTCTTTGTGATTCCGTTTGAGGTTTTCTTGGCAGAGATACTGGAGTGGTTTGCCATTTCCTTCTCCAGCTAATTTGACAGATGAGGAAACTGAAACAAACAGGGTTAAGTGATTTGCCCAGGGTCACATAACTAGTAAGTGTCTGAGGCTGGATTTGAACTCAGGAAGATGAATCTTTCTACCTCCAGCCAGGCCTGGTACTATATTCACAGTACCACCTAGTTGCCATATACACACATACACACAATTATAATGTGTATAAATGTGCATGTATATATACATGTGTGTATGTTTGTATATATATTTGTCTATTCAGTTGTTTCAGTCCTTTCCAACTCTTTGTGACCTCATTTGGGGTTTTTGTGGCAAAGATACTGGAGTGGTTTGTCATTTCCACATACATACACATATGTGTATATACATACATGTACACACATATATCTACATATATAATGCTTTGCAAACATTTGAATATTGTTTAAATGTATCTAGCATTATTATTACTAACCATAGAAGCTAGAAGGGACCTTAAGGATCATCTACTTGCCCCTTCTCATTTTACAGATATGGAAACTGAGGCCCACAGAGGATAATGACTTGCTTGGGGTCATGAAACTAGTTAATGGTTTGTCCCAGCCTCTAGTATTCTTTTGATTACTATTTTAAGAACAATATTTAACTTCCAAACACAGGCATGAAG